AAGAACATATGAAAACTATGAAAGTACTAGAAGAAAACATCAATAGATATTTTTTATAATTACGTGGTAGGAAAGATTTTCTAAAGACATTCCTAAAGGTAGAAATACAAAGAACAAAAATAGATAGCTTACTAAATACATTTTTTAAACTTCAATATAACAAAAACACTATAACCAAAGCAAATGTTAACAAGAAACCTGGGAATTTTTTAAAATTTATTTCTTATTTTACTTATTTTTTGAGGGGGGAGGTAACTAGGCCTATTCATTTATTTGCTTTTAGAGGAGGTACTGGGGATTGAACCCAGAGCCTTGTGCATGCTAAGCATGCACTCTATCATGTGAGCTATATAAACCTTCCCCATTGGAAATTTTAATATATACATGATAGTGTGCGTTTGTGTACGTGTGTTTAAATGACAGCTATATGTCAAAAAAGACAAATATTCTAACAGAAAAGAGGGCCACGGATATAAAGAGGAAATTCACACAAACACAGTAAACATGAGAAATGGTCATCCTGATCAGTAATCAAAGACGTACAATTTTTCTAAAACAAAGAATTTTGCCTTTCAGAGTAGCAGGCTTCTTATTTTAAAAAAAAAAAAAGTCTGGCGTGGATGAGAGAATGGGAAAATGACTCTCAAAAACACAGCTCATGGGATTGTAAACTATTCTAGAGGGTAAATTAATGGCAGTAAATATCAAAAGCCCTAAAAAGTATATGCCTTTAGCTTAGAAGTTCCATTTGTAGTAGTTTATTCTAAGGAAATAATTGAATACTGCTCAGAAAGAGCTGCATGTGGATGTTCACTGCAGTGCTGCTTGTAACAGAAAAAATTACTGAAAACTAACAAACACACAAATAAGAACTGGGATTTTAACTGCAGGCCTTTCTGCCTTCAGTGTCTGTGCCACTGATGAATCTAGATTGAATGTTCTTAGCCTAACAGTCTTCCTGTTAACTTCCTAACCCTGTAGCAACCAATGTACGATGCAAGTACATTCTGAGGAAGACCTGAGCTGACCACCCTGTAGCAGGAAACAAGCTGCACAACCAAGGGACACCAGCTAACCAACACAACTAATGTTCATGATTCTAAGCAAGACTTAGAATCTGTTAGTGTAATAAATGCACCTGGATCCAAATTTCTGTTAAAGGATATGCTTTATGTATTTCTTACCATAACTGCGAGTCACACTGACACATTTTCTGTCACATCAAAAAGTTATGTTAATCTATTAAATTGGTGATAAAGGAAAGTCAAATACATGAAAGTTTCTGTTTCTTAATTCTGTATTTACTAGCTTGACAGCAGATAAACTTATCAGTTGGTAAAATAAGAGAAAAGCTTTTGAGCAGAAGCTTGAGGCCTGGTATTTTTAAAGATGTATTACCAATTATCACTAAAAATTTCATGAATCAAGTAAAAACATAAAGCAATAATACATTTATATTTCCATTAAATTAAGCCTGGGTTACAATGGTATGAGTCACAATTTGTTTTTCAGAAAGCAGCTTCAAAGGATGGAATAACAACATTACCAACAACTAGATAATCCCACTCTAGGTTAAGACATTCTTTAGATGGCTAGGCCTTAACAGGTGAGGCTACTGGTTTTATCAGGAGCATCTTATCTCTTGAGAAACTCTTTCTCTAAGGTAATAATTAGATTGCTTTTGTCTTTTGTCATTGGAAAGATACAAAAGTCATCAGACTAGCCTGTTTTATGAACTTCATTACTAAGAAATTTTTAATACCAAGACAGAAAAAACCTAAATAAAATTTCTAGTTGTAACTGGAAGCTCTGTTTTTAGTAAAGAGGACTACTTAACATTTTAAAACACGTTGACTTGGAGAGCTCTGGAATTAACTGGATTACCAATTCTTTCAGTGAATTAATACCCTTTCTACCATCTTTATTAAATGGAGTTTCTGCACTCTGTACCTCACAACTTTTTTGTCTTCAATTCTTCAACAGGTAGTATGCTACAAACAGTATTTACACCTCTCATGAAAACACAAGAAACTACATATTCTAGTTTTTGCAACCGTGCATCTTACAGAGATGAGAAGTGATTCAATGAGGAATATCTCGAGTGAGGCTAAGGTGGAGAATAGGTATTTCTCCAGTCTCCAAGCAGAATTTTAATTACATATTTTAAATTTTTAATTTTATTATAATTTTATAATATTATAACTATAAAACAATATATTATAATTTTTTAAACCTGCTAATTAATTATTTAATTCAATTTACTGGTGTTTAAAGAACAGATGCAATTGGCTGGTTACTACAAAGTTAGTGAGTAACTACTCGGTGCCAGGAGCTCTAGTTTTCCACTAAATTTACTACAATTATTATAAAACAGTTACAAAGACCTGGTTACACCTTGGACAGATTGGCAGGAAACTCAACAGATTTCACTGGTGCCATTATGTCTTCAGCACGGAAGGAGTCTTTCCAACAACTGGGTCTCTCTAGCAATGGCATGAGTATTTATCAAAAATGTGGAAAAGTGACATGTAACCCTGCTGGCATCAAGTCACTCTCTACCATCATTGTAACTACTATCTAATAACAAACTGTAGGAGCATTATCAGGCAAATTAGGAGAAAAGTGCTTTGCCCACCTCAGCACTGAAGATCTCATTTTCTTTTGTGAATTGCCAGCAACTCACATCAGTCAGTGAACACATAGGATCACTGAAAAGTTTACAGTGGAGCAGGGTCACATTCAACATGTCAGCAACAAGAGTATCCTTCAAGCCTCTCCAATTTTTAGAACTAACAGATCAGACAAATACCAAAATGAACTATACCTACATGTCAACTGGGAAACAAAAGGAAATACAGCTGAACCCCAGGTAGCCATGCTTAACAGACTAAGGGATTGCATAAAATTAAATGAGTATGACCGTAACCAAAGGGGAAAAACATTAGCTAAAGTAACCAGATTGCCAACCGGGCAGAGAGCTCCTACTGCAGGGAAGAGATCGCTCAAATACTCACTGACCGTGTATCATCTTATTACTACCTCTCAGTAATCCTCAGGAGGCCTCCCGTATGGGATGGCTCTCCCCTACTTTACAGCCAAGGCCAATGAAGTGCTTCTTTTCAGGTGACTTGTTCGAATCCCAACGGAGGAAGTGAAAACCCTGACCTAGAATCTGGGTCTCCCAAAGTCAAGAGCAACACTTCCTCTGTTTCCACCACGTGGATGTGAATGCCACCAGTCAACTGTACTCTTCAACCTGAGAAACAAAACTGAGAGGCGGCATCTCAGCAAAGGAAACTACTTTCCAGACATGATTCCAGGTTTGAAACCTTTGGTTTGTGCTCTCCATCCCAGCAATTTAAAACACATTATGAATTTGTCAGCGGCGCCAAGGTCCACCGCCCTTAGCATAATTAAAACCCATTAGGTTGGCTCACTGTATAATGGCACCCCGTGTGCTGTGAGAACATATTCGCCTAAAAGCCCCTTGGAGGACACTAAACATTCACAAGCCACAATAAAAGCTTAGAAGAACATATCAAAGGATAAAACTTTTTATTAGCAGACATTGTAACTCACCACTCAGGAATCCTGTACTTAGATTTAGCCCCTACTGCTTTATGACTTTGAACTCTTAGAGGTGAGGAAAGTATCTAGGGTGCATTAGAAAATCTATTCTGGCTCAGAAGTCGACCACCCCAAAAGTGTCATTCCAGCCCTGAGAATTTTCTACTGCAGAATTCTAAGAGAAGCTGCATGTTCAAAGCCCCTGCCCCGAACCTAAAAATCTTATTTTGCATAACTTGTCCTGATTGTTAACCTTTTAAGACTCAAATCCTGTATGTTTCCTCTTCTCTCCTGAAATAGGGTAAGTTTGCTTCCCCTCTTCAGCTTCTTCCCTCCAGCAGGTCACCTGCTGAAAGCCACATGGGGGCAAAAACTATCTGGTCAACGATAACTCAATTCCACCAGCAGAATAAAGAGGAGGAATTAGAAAAGTAAAAAAAAAAAAGAACGTCAGAATTTACGACGAACTCCGCGAGCTGAGAGCAAAACCTATGTAGATCCCAGGCAACCAAAATCAGAACTCTAAGAACTCTAAGGGAACACTTGTTTAAGTGTTGCCCATTTTGCCCACGAGAAGTGTCTCCAAGGCACTCATACCCGTGCTGACCAGTCCGTCAGAGTCGCACACATGACACAAAACGAGCGCACAATGCTCTTACCAAACCGCCCTCCGTCCCCCGAGCAGAAAGCTGACCCCGCTCACCCCGAGCGCGCCGGCGGCACCTCCTCCGGGGCTGACGCAGGCCCGGGGGCCAGCGGAACGAAGCCGGCCAGGCCCGGGTCAGGAAGGCCGCG